CATCGTGACTATGTTTCTTTTTACCTTTTTCCAATGGTTCCACTTGAATGCGCAACTATTCTAATCTCTACATTTACAACTAAGTTCTTTTTAAAATAACACTACTCTGATTAATAGGTAGCCCAAATACTTGAAAGCAAAGTATTCCCAATTCTCCTTCACATTCCTCATGAAACTGTGACCATTCATTTCACTTGACAACAGTTCCTGTTATGAACAGAACATTCTGGGCATATTCAAAAAGGTTAATTTCCCCGTCTCCCTGACAGAAGCACAAGGAGGTATTTCTCCAACTTTCACTGTGAAAATCTGGTGGGGACCCTAGCAGTGAAAGTCATATATAGGCAGGATCCCTCCAAACTTCTCCATGCAAGCCAACAAAAGTTCAGCCATGTCAGTCTAGGTTCCCCCATCCACCCCGGGTCCTGTTCCCAGGGACCTTCTGCTCCAGTAGGTTGTGAGGCCTCATTAGCCAGTCTTCAGTTTTGGGGTGGGGAAAGTGGAGAGTGGCAGGCAGTGGCTTGCCCTGAACATCAGTTTTCTTTTCTTTTGTTGGGGGAAACTGGGGGTTGTACCCAGGGCTTTGCGAATACAAGGCAAATGTTCTAAAGGATCTAAGGAGAGGTGTTGATTTGAAGTTCATTCAAAATTTTTTCTCATTGTGAGGATGGCCATGGTGACTTCTAAGACCCTTGCATATTGGAAGAGAAATAGAAATGCCTATTTTTTTCAAATAGTAAGCATTACCAATAGTTATTATACTATTACATTTAAATTCCTATTAAATTTAGAACTAAAATTTCTATCTTGGATTCAAAACTATTGTTTGAATACCATCTACTTCACTTTGAGATGGGGTCGGTGGGATGTATTCTAACTTCAAAAGTGGGAAGGCTCTCATTTGATAGCTTTTAGGAATTGTCCTATTTTATAAGCTATAAAAGCTTTTTATAAGCTTTTATAAACATTAGGTGGGCGCAGGAGCACATGTCTATAATCCCAGCAGCTCGGAAGGCTGAGGCAGGAGGATGTTGAGTTCAAAGCCAGCCTCAGTAAAAGCAAGGCACTAAGCAACGCAGTGAGACCTTGTCTCTAAATAAAATACAAAATAGGGCTGGTATGTGGCTCAATGGTCAGGTGCCCCTGGGTTTAGTCCCTTGTACCAATTATGAAATAAATAAATAAGGGCTAACATTACTAAATGGTTTTTAATTTTGTGTTTATGGAAGTATTAACATTGTCCTAGGGCTACACTTTGTTAACTGAAAAAACTCAATTAGGTAAAGCTCTCTGACTTTGCCAGTCAGGAAGCATTAAATTATATAAAAGTGCTCACACTATGAAGTATGAAATAAACTATACCTTAAAATATACCAACCATCCTTTGCGTCTGCTTAAGAATATAAGCTTTGGAAGCAAAAAAAAAAAAAGTGTTTAAATCTAGACTCTCCCCCTTATTGGCTTTAATGCCTTAAAGCTTTTCTTTATCTCCCTTTACCTCTGTGAAATAAGGATAATAAACCTACCTCACTGAGTTATTATAACAATGACTTCAAGTGCTTAGGACATAAGTACATGGTATAAATAGCAGTTGTTGCTATTTTTGCTGTTGTTGGTTTCATTATTATTAGGCTATAACTCCTTCCCTGCTATTACCACTGTGGAAAATATTTCAGTTTTAGAGCTTGCCACACTCCTCGCAGGGCAACCCTCAGCTATATAGAGTCTACTTGGCCCACTTTACTGACCCTCCTATTTCCTGGGAGCTAATCTCATACAGAAAGTTTTCCATTCCATTTTCTTATCTCCTTATAATCCCAGTGCTCACCAATTTAGACATAAAATGTTGCCTTGTATGTTAAAAAAAAATGATCCACCAAAGAATAAAAGTGAATGAAAAAAAACTTTGTGGGTAAAATATATTTATATATTTCTCCTGGTGGAGAAAGAGGAAAAAAAACCCTACATATAAATAAAACTGCAGCTAAAATACTCCTTTTTTAAATTGATTTTTTAATTTATATATAACAGGGGAATGCATTACAATTCTTATTACACATAGACAGCAAGATTTTTCATATCTCTGGTTGTATACAAAGTATGTTCACACCAATTCGTGTCTTCCTATCTGTACTTTGGATAATAATGTCCCTCACATTCCACCATCATTTCTAACCCCCTGCCCCCTCCCTTCCCCTCCCACCCTTTTTTTTTAATTGTAGGTGGACACAATACCTTTATTTTATTTATTTATATGTGGTGCTGAGGATCAAACCCAGGGCCTCACATCTGCTAGGTGAGTGCTCTATGGCTGAGCCACAACTTCCAACCCTATGATACTCCTTTTTGTTTTTCCTCATGTGATTTGTTTATTTCCAAAGCAAATATAATGTTTTAGTAAAATACTCTGTATTTGACTCTACTTTCATTTATTATCTGAGATTCTCAAACAGAATATAAATCCTGTAAGAGCAGAGCATTTTGTCTATTATTAATTCAGTCTAGAACAAAACTTGGTATATATTATCAATAGATAAATATTTGATAAATGAATTAAAATTAATGAAAAAGTTCATTATTTTTGATAATACTCCTTCTTTATAGCAGAAACAGAGTTATAGACCTGCCTTTAAAGTTCTATTTAATACCTCCTTTATTTCTCAGGGTCAAATTTCACTTCTAAGAAGCCAATTCTCAAAATAAATGAGCTCCTTAAATTCTTCAAAATGGCAGAAATTTAGATTATACCAAAACTTTCAAACTCTTAACAGCCTTAATCCTGTAGTTTTTTTATAGTCAATATATTCATCTGAGTTTGGTAAAGATAAATATTTCTTTCCTGAGTTTTCTCTGTGCCTGCAAAGCTTTTTCCAAAATCTAAAATAAAATTCTAAACTGAACAGAGCTTTTTCATAATACAAGGCAAAATTCATATGCCTTTCCCCCAATTACTAAGGAAACTAAAATAGATTCTTAAATGAATGACCCAGCTCCTGTTCACAGACAGTACAGAGAAAAAGTAATAGGGTTCTTCAATTCCTGTTTCCCTTCTCTTGCATGGGATTTGGATCCAGAATTCTCTTCCAAGTACCTGAATGTGGACTTAAGTTACTAAGTGACAGAAACTCTTTATATTATCCTTAAACATCAAATGATTAATAAGGGAGAAGGAGACCTATACTCCAGGACATGAATGGTTTCAGTTTCTTCGTGGCATGAACCACCGAGCAGACCAGTTGGTAGATTTGGGGGAAAGATAGGAAAGACCAGAAACGAGAATGATTACATTTCAACAGGTAATCATTCCCGTTTCTGGTCTTTCATATCTTTGCCCCAAATCAACCTACTGTTTAACTATTTCATATAAAACAAAGATACTTTTTCATGATTCCAAGAAAATTCAAGAAGGCAAAGCCTCCTTTCAGAAGGAAGCAGCAAAACACACCTGCTTCCTTATATCTAACTTATTTATGAGTAACAGAACACAACATCCTAAGGAAATAGAGAAAACAATTTCTTTTAAACCTTTAGTTCCTCTAATGTGTTGGGGCGGTGGTGTTCCATGGTTGAACCTAAATCATCATTGAATATCTGAGGCCACCCTATTCATGTGTTTCTCCTACTACCCAAAGAATAACAGGTGTTACTTTCATTCAAAAGAAATCAAGATGTATACTCAGTAGAAACACACTTTAACAGGGGGAAAAAAACTTATTTTTTTTTTTTGGTTTCTGATAATGCCCTAAGACTTTAGAAATCAGGGGCACTGTGGAATTTTCATTTCCCTGGAATTTGAATTTCATTGCAACAGTCATCATCACCCAGTCAGTGGAAGGTCAGTGAGAAACGCAACAGTCACCTGAGGCTTACTAACTGCAGCAGCAGGAGGGATCGGGTGAGAATATAGCACTTCAAAGTTTCAAAACTACTTTCAAATGCCCTATACCTCCTAAGGCTCAAAACAAGACTGATGAAATAGGCAAGAAGACAGGAGATGCTCTAAAGCCAGAGTACTAAAGTTATTTGCCCAGGGTCACAAACCTTGTGAGAGGCACAAATGTGATTCTTAATTTCAGAATTTGCTTATAAAACTTAAACCACAAAAAAGGAAGGAAGGAAGGGATTGAAAAGAAAAGGATGAGAGCGCTGAGGGACTGGTCCCAGGACTACTCTCCCTAATTGGCCTTTTCTATTCCATCAATCTAACTCATCAATACAATGTGGATTATTCCCAATGATTTAGACCTCTCGGCTGTGCACCACATACACACGTCCATCCACACCTGCAACATCACATGTGAAAGGCTAACAGGCCAATCCATCCCAGCAGAGCCCTTAATCCTTTCCCCGCCTCCCATGAAATCTGTTCCTCCCAGGTTTCCCAATCTCAGTAAGTGAAACACCATTGCTCAGGCTGAGTGTAGGAGTCCTTTCCATTTCTGCCATTCCTCTGTCCCAGGACTCCACAGCCAAGACCTCAGGAAGTCAGGTAGATCCTCCCCTAAAACACGGTGTCTCCTTCATCGCCTCTCCACCACTCAAGCACAAGCCATCATCCACTTCCTACATGGATCACTACAACAGACTCCTCTCTGTTTCCCTACCTGCCTTCTCACCTTTGTAAAATCCATTCTACACAAAATACACAAGCTAAAATCACAACCCATCCATCTGCACTTAGTATAAAATCCAAGCCCCTATTAAAGCCCATATACCTACCCACTTACAGAGTTTGATCATTCTTATCTAAGTCTTGACACCCAGAAATAAGGCCTCCATATTGGTATGGCAGCTACAAAGTGACAGAGGATGGAGACTTAAACCAAGTCTCCCAGGTGTCTCTTCATGGAACCATTCAACGTCCTAGCGACCTATTCCAGGAAATAGCGAGTCTCAGTTTTCTCATGTGTGTGACCACAATAAAACTACGTCTCCTCCAATTTCCCCTGGTAATTAGAGGAGCCAATGAGATGAGATACTCTATGTGAAAGTGCTTTGAAAAGCATAAAGCACTGTGCAAACAAAGTGAAATTAAATGCAAGCTACTACATAAATGGCACTCAAGTATGGAGTTCTCTGAGCCTTTGTTTACAAGAAAGAGGAGCTACGTGAATCCAGCTAAAATACCTGCCTTCTGTCGACAGAATACTCTCCAACTGGACCAAGAGGAGAGTATTTAAGAGGATGGGTTTGAGGCAAGACAGCACACAGGTACCCTAGGTAACTTTCTTTAAAGAGCTTTATTTATAGGCCTTTATCTCAACCAAAAAAAAAGGAAATAACCAGATAAATCTTACCTAGATGTTTCTAACTAAAAAGATAACAGGCAGCGAAACACCACAGTCTGGGAAGTTGAGAAAATGAGTCTTAGCATCCTCAAAATCTTACCACCTTCTCTCCAGAATGCAGGGGTACAGAGAGTTCAAATAAAAAAACAGCTGTATGTTCCCAGTGACTTGGGAGGCTGAGGCAGGAGGATCATGAGTTCAAAGTCAGCTTCAGCAAAATCAAGGTGCTAGGCAACTCAGTGAGACCCTGTCTCGAAATAAAATACAAAATAGAGCTGAAATGTAGCTCAGTGATAGAGTACCCCTGAGTCAATCCCTGGTACAAAAAAAAAAAAAAGCTCTGTGAGGCCCTTCCAAACCCCAGGGACATAGGATGACGCCAACCCTGGATTGTTTCCACAGCTCCTGGAAATCTACCAGCCAGCAAGAGCTGCAACCACAAGCTGGACTCTGGTCAGACTGGAGAAGTCCTCAACCCATCATCCCAGGATACTGGCATCCACCTATGTATACAAGAAGCTGGCCTTCAAGTATTGGGTAAGTTAGATGGGGGTAAAAGGCAAGATTTTCTAATAAAATTATTCTACCAATATGTAATTAAACCCTATTTGAGTCAGATTTACTGACAAAGACACTGAAATTTTAAAGAAACTGTAGCAACCAGAGCTACATAAACCAGTTGCTGTATGTAACCTTCCTCTGCTCAGTTACCCAAAAAGCAAGCCTACAAAATCACATGACCATTTCACTAATCTACACAATCTCATATTGTCCGTTTTAATATGTCATTGATTCTATAGTCAACCTATATTGACTTATATAGGTTATATATTTCATAATTCCCTTCAAACTAGTTGTGATTATTTCAACTTTGCTTAAGTTCACTGGTTTTTAAGACATAATGCTAAGTGACATTTAATAAATTCAGACTACAGAAATGGAAATTATGCCATAAATCAAGAGTCTGAAATTTTATTTTTCTGTAAAGGGCTGGTTAATATTTTAGGCTTTGCCAGCTATACACAGTCACACACTTTCCTTTTTATTTTTTTAACAACTTTTAAAAACATAAAAACATTTTGAGCTCTTAGGTAGTACAAAGGCCACAAATTATGCAACCTTTATTGTAAATAATGACAATTACGAACTAATAATAGAAAAAAATAGTTAATACAACATGAGTTAGTCTTTCACTTAAAACCATCACACTCCAATAAAATTAGGAACACTATATAATAGAGAAAGAAAAGGAAGGGCTAGGGCTGTAGCTCAGTGGTAGAGCACTTGCCTAGTATGCATGAGGCACTGGGTTCGATCCTCAGCACCACATAAAAATAAACAAGTAAAATAAAGGCATTCTGTTCATCTACAACTACAAAAATTCTTTTTTAAAAAAGAAAAGGACTATTCCCTATTTTTCATAAGGCCAAAAATTATGACTCAATATTTTTTTTCTCCTTTTCTACATGGTCAAGCATAAAAGATGCTCAGCAAGAACTAATGTAGCATCACTTTTAATGTACATATTTATAATGATATTTAAAAGGTAGATTTATGTAGTGCAGGTTGCTAAAACACAATCTTGTGAAGCTTCAAAAATTATAAATAGATGGAAAGTCAAAAAGCCAAAAATAGCTTTTTAAAATTCGCCAATCTGTCAAAAAAAAAGAAGGATATATTATTAAAAATGACTTTTTCTTTCAGGATCCCTGCACTAACAATAAGAAATAGCACCAAAATTTTGTGAGGATAATGGCATACAAATGACTTGCTGTAATTGGTGTTTCTACCCCACAATGCAATGAAGTCCATTGTACCTGAGATAATGGGACTCTCTCACGAAGTTGCTGCATTGTTACCAAGCAACAAGAAATAAAATGTCAAGATTAGCACTTTGTTTAATGTATTTTTATCATCAATGAACTGTATTTCTATTCTGCTCTTCTTCTGGATATAAATGGTCATTAGGCTAAGAATTATTTTAGTAATCTACAAGAGTACACCAAAAAATAAAAATGCAGTTAAGTACACAACCATCCATATTCACCAAGTCCATATTTTTCCATTTATTAGCATAATACTAATTCTATTATTGAGAAGGTTGTTTTACCAAGTTGCTAAACTACAATGTCATCATCAAATATATCTTCATTAGCATCCAAATATTTTTCAAACCAATCTCACATTTCATGAAAATTCAAGTGAATGAATGGTCTTTCAATACTTTGAAACAAGTAGAACCAATCAGTTCATTTAACATAACTATGTTAGAAAATTAGCATGTTTTCTATCAAGGCATTCTATACCTGGCTAAATCTTCGGCATAGAATTTACAGAGATCCCTTTTGAAGTAGTTTAGTAATCAATACAAAAAATGAAACCCAAATGCATGCATAAAACCTTATAACTGAAAACTGTCAAGAAAATAAATGTAAATTAAAGATATCATATCATTTAACAGGTCTAAAAAGCAATCCATAAGAAAGATATCAATAACTCACCGTATCTATCCCAGAAGTTAACCCTGGGGAAGGCGACAGTATTCTGCCTTAGGATTGAGGGATCTCAAGGCCCATGGCAAGAGTGGAAGACGCATTCCTTCTTTTTATGTTATAATGGACAGCTCATTCTCTTCTTCATCTTCTTCTTCTTTTTTTTTTCCTTTTCTGTGTAAGAACTTGTGTTGACTGTTTGACACAAGTGGACTGTGTTGGTGAACTCAAGAAGATTGGCATAAACTATTTCTTTCCGGCCTTTAGCCAATTAACTGAAGTAGAAAGGTTTGCCAGTTTAATACTAAAGTACAGTGAAGGGCATTTAACCTATTAAGTTTCACACAGTGAATGTCAAATTTGACATTTCAGTCAAGTTTTCATAAAGATCGTGTCTCTACATGTCAATCATATATGTGTGTGAATGAATTCCACACAGGTGGGCGTAGTAGTTGCCTATGTAAGAGGTAATTGTTTGAGACTAGGTCTAATGAAGTTTCTCAGCATGGTTAGAAGTAATTGGCTTAGGTGAATGGAAGCCTTATTATTTTTTTTTTCCTGAGTTATACCACTATTTTTCCTTTTTACTGTCTCTTGAAAACAATTTGAATTTTGCTATTTTTGAAATTGTAAATCAAGGCATTAGCAATCTAAAGATTAAGAATAAAAGAAATTTAAGTGGAAAGGAATTGTTTATCCCTTAGGCATTTTCATTTTCTCTAAAGCAGGAAGCAAGATAGCCAAATCTCTAAAATACTGATACATTAATTGGCCTGCTTGGTGGAGATTAAATATTCACAGGATCCAATGAAGTGATTAAGTCCATTGGTTAAAATCCACCCTGTGTTCCCATATTCTATTATATCCTAAAGTGAAAACAATTTGATTTTTTGTTGTTGTTGTTGTTGTTAACAGGGATTTGAGCCACATCCCCAGCCCTTTAAAAAAAAAACAAAAACACAATTTTTTTTTATTTAGAGACAGGGTCTTGCTAAGATGCTTTGGGCCTCACTAAGTCAATTTGATCACTTCTGCCAAGACAATGCATGTGGTGTTATCAATGAAAGTTCTCCAAAGAGAGACCAAGAGTCAGGAAGCTCTAATCAAAAGCTCAAAAATCACATTTCTCTGCTCACCTCAGTTTTGACATCAGATTTAAGCATTAGTCTATTTTCTATTGGAAAAACAAAATACCTAAAGGTAGATACCTTAAGAAGTTTATTTAGTTTACAGTTTTAGAGCTGAACGTCTATGATCAGGCAGCCCCATCTGTTCTGCCTCTGGTAAGAGCCCCATGGCTGCGTCACACCACGGTGGAAAAACAGGAAGGGAAACAGTCATGCACAAGAGGCCATATGCATGAATTGACCATGTATCATAACAACTCACTCTAAGAACCCACTCTGAGAAACCAGCATTAATCCCTTCCAAGAGCATTGACCCCATTACCTAACCACCTTCCATTAGACCCCAATTTTTAAAGATCCCACCACACTGGGAGCCAAACTTTCAGCGCATGAATCTCTGGAGGAATAAACCACATTCAAACCATACCAAGAACTAACCATTTCTTGGAAAATATTGTAAAATGCATTAAGAATAAAAATCACATTTCACATAGCCTTGAAGGAGATACTAGCATTACTCTCAAGGAAATCAACTCTCCTGTAGGATTCTGGAGCATGTCCCTTTGTCTTAAAGAAAACAGAACATATCATGCTATTCTGCACACACACCCACTAGGAATGCTCCCCTTTGGAATGCTCAGGTCTCTGTGTCTGCTAGTCCTTCTGCACCCCCATTCCAAACTTCCCCCAGGCCGCTGAAAATATAGCTTCCTTACTATCTTAAATTCTTTCCTGAAAAGTCACCTTACCCAAGCTTTTTATTGACCTCCCTGTCTAAATGTTAACCTTCCTTCCCTGATCTTTTGTGTTCCTTCCCATGTGCTCTTTTCTTTCTCCTTACCATTTAACAATATGAAAAATGTTAAGTATTTTGCTTATTTATTCTACCTTTTGTCTATCTGGACCATCAGAGTGAAAGCTCCATGAAGGCAGGGATTTTTCTCAGCTTTGTTCACTGCTGTATCTCCACATCCTAGAAAAATGCCTGGCATGACAGAATTTCCAAGTATCAGTGCACTGCACACTGATCTGGTTCTTGTTTCAAGATAATAAGAGTTCAGAGAGAAGATGATGAGAAGAGGATGCAGATGAGGCAGGAGTAACCACAGGTTAATGTCACAGGAGCGGGGTGTTGGATTCAGGAGGGTTCATGACATTCTGCTCTTTACAGTTACATAAACCTCCAAAGCAAACATACGAAACCAAACTTTGTAATATCATTTACACTGCACTTTTCACCTTTCCTCACTTGCTAATCAAAAGAAACAACGCGCCCACCTGGTGGAATGGCAAATGTCCCCTAATCTCTTCCTCAAGTTAATCTCCTAACTAGAGATGGAATGCGCCAGGCAGGCTCTGGTACAGAGCATACTTCTATGCTTGGCTCTTAGAAATTTATCAAAAACTCTTAGGATATCATTTTGCAAAATAATTTTCCATGTGCCTATACTTTATGACCCAGGATTAGCTTTAAAAAAAAAAAAACAAGAAACTGACAAATATAATATTCCTGATGGTAATTATCTCTGGAGAGGATATAGACTCTAATTCTTACATAAATTAGGTGGGTTCGTAGATGCTCAACTTATTATGCATCATAAACCACTCAGGCTACATGTCTACAAGATCTGTGTGCATCAAACATCATGGAATGTAAACAAGTAGGCATTTAGGTCAATATTCCATAATATAAGTACTATATATTAATATAGTACTATATATACCCCTTTTAACTAAATGCTGAAAGTAACTAAAATAGGTGAAGGGATTTTGTGTAAATCTTTGCTGTCTCATGACACCAGCCATGGCACAAGCCTGGCTGGGTTATTTCAGTCGCAGGCAGCCTTCAGTGGCTGAGTCAGAGGACCCTTTCTGACAGCACGTGCATGCCAGACTGCTTCCAGGAGACAAAGCATCAACAAACAGTCTCCTGAGTGAAGCACTCCTGGCCCTCCTCCTAGGTTTTCTATTATAAGCTCCTAAAAAATAAAAAAAAAAAAAATAAAAATTAGAAAAAAAAAACATAGAAACAAGCCATTTGCCAGAGAAATCCAGGATGGTGGGCTGTACACAGAGGAGACTGGAGGAGGGGCTCGCAGGGAGCTGAGAGGTTAACAAGTCTCCTTCTGAGAAGAGCCACAAGAGTTCCCTTCACAGCAGTCCTTGCTGCTCTCATTATGCGCATGTAATACAACACCCAGGAGCCATTCTTGGCTGGTTTTGCTCTTTCTTAAACTCATGAAGTTTATTAGGGAAGACTTCTCCCACTCCAAGAGAGAGAGGTCCAGAAATAATACAGTCTGGGCTAAAAAGAGAAACCTCTTTCTGGCATGAGTGTCAATATGTGCACCCACTATTTTTCCTAAGTAACCACCCAGTTCCGTAAGAGGACTACACCACAACTTTGAAAAAGCATATAATCTGCCACAGGCCTGGAGAAAGACTAGTGTAATATTCACATTTATTTTGCTAAACACAGACATTATCGGTAATGACCTTGTTTTTTTTTTTTTTACACAATGTATGTTTGCTTAGAACACATCAGAAAGAGACAACTTTTCCAAAAGGAAGTAATGTTCCCCCACTTATAGAAACTAGAAACAATTGCTATGGAAAGCAGATTTAATTTTCTTTTTCATTCAAGATAAACATATTGGCTTATTTCTTGTCATAAAACACATGGATATTAATTACTATATAATTAGAAAATGAATGAGAAAAAAAATTAAAAAGCAAGAGTTGTATTGAATGTTCCTTTGCCATGGCTGCTTCTAAGTCCCAAAGAATTATAAGATATTTAAGGGAGTCATCATTTATATTTTAGATATTTATAGTTCTCTCTTCCTCAAAACTCAAATTAGAACTCAAGTAAACAGGGAAAAACACTGAAAAGATGCAGCCGTATGGAGCTTCCAGAGACAGGCTGTAAACCAGATGCAGCTATAAAAAGTCCTCCATATCCATTTCCTCATCTGTAACAGAAAGGAGAGGAGCAAAGTGTTCTCTGGAAAAAAAAAAAAAAGGTCTTCTGGCCAAATGTAGTGTGCATGCCGACAGCACCAGTTACCAGTGACTCAGGAGGCTGAGGCAGGAAGATTGCAAGTTTAAAGCCAGCCTGTACAATTTTGTGAGACCCTGTCTCAAAATAAAATTTAAAAAAAAAAAAGTTTTGGGGGTAGAGGGGATGTACCTAATAGTTGAGCGTTTACCTGACATGCACAAGGCCCTGAGTTCAATTCCCAGTAATGCAAAAAAAAAAAAAAAAAAAGGTTTTATCTAAAAGGTACAGCCGTCACTGTGACCATTCCCACTATTTCACTACTTAAGATACTACAGTACTAGAAAAGACATTCAACCACCATGTTTAGGGCATACAAGAAAAGTTGCAAAAGGCCACTCAATAGAATAAACAGAGTCCAAGAGAGAGACTAAATGAATCCATAGAGCTATGATCACAGGATAATGATTTTCTCAAAGCCTCTCCAAGGTAGGTGGTACCAGTGGGAAAAAGACCATAGTCATGATAACTGGCAAGAAAGGCTGGGGATAGAGGAGTAGGTTGAACAACAACAAAAATCTCCCTATCTGCTAATTTCTGCTCAATTATAATAACAATGAAATGCACTACACCCCTGGAAGTTCAATATCTTTCAAAAATTGAAAACCCCATTAATTTATAATGATTTGAAATATTTCATAACATAATAGAAAATGAGTTCTACCCTGGTTCCACCTACTGTATGACATCAGGTATTCAACTTAACCTCTCTGTACTTTAATGTCCTCATGTTTAAGATAAAGATAATTATGGTTCATACAGGCCTGTCACGCAAATAATATACACAGAGAATCAGTAGTAACTAATTCATAATAATTTCTTTTTTTAAAAAAAAAATATTTATTTTTCAGTTTTAGGTGGACCCAATATCTTTATTTTATTTTTATGTGGTGCTAAGAATAGAACCCAGTGCCTCACGCATGCTAGGCGTGCGCGCTACCACTTGAGCCACATCCCCAGCCCAATAAGTTCTTGATTAATGGCAGCTATCATCATTAACATTTAGCATCAGAAGAATACAGAGGTTATGCTTTCTCAAGATTCCTTTTAAATACTATACTTCAAACCAGATCATAATCATCCATCCCACTAGCACCACTGTAAGATGGAGCAGAACATGCCTACAAGAGAAGGATCATAAACACCTGGAAGCCAGTGCAGGCAACGGAATGCACACAGCACTGCACAGATAAGGGAGCAGAAGCCCAGGTACTCACTAGACTCCAAACAGTACAGAAGACACAAAGTCAAAACAGAGTTTTTGCACCAGAAAACACCAATCTAGGGTATCCCCAAATCCAAATTATTTTCCACTTTTGAGTGCACATTTCCCCCTCTACCATGAGCATGCAGAAAAGGTGGACTCACAATAATCTTTTGCCCAAATAATGGTTTTGCTAAAAGTTCCTAAACTAGAAATATGGATTTCACACTGATTCTTCAAATCTAGCTCTGTCCAATGTACCTTTCTGCAGTGATGATAATGTTCTGTATCTATGCTGATCAACAAAGTCGTCACTAGCCACACCCAGCTTAGTTAGTCTAGAACTGAGACTACTTATGACTGAGTAACAGACTCTGTATTGTATTTAATTTTGATGAATTTAAATTTTAAAAGCCACAGGTGGCTAGTGGCTACGATATTGGACAGCACAGTCAGTTGGGTGTAGCTGTATCAAAAAGGATCCTAATGTGGGTCTGGGCCCACCAGGATACAGTGCTGTGATAGATCAGAGATTTCTATTCCAGAAAACAGGGGGAGGGTAGCTGTTATGGTTTGGATGTGAGGTGTCCCCCAAAAGTTCACATGTGACAATGCAAGAAAGTCTAGAGGAGATAGTCTTGGCTAATCAGTGATAGCCTTGGCCTAATCAGTGACAGGATTAACTGAAATGGTAGAGTGTGGTTGGAGGGAGTGGGAATTGGGATGTGGCTTTGGGTATATATTTGTAAGTAGAGAGTGGAGTTTCTCTCTCTGCTTCTTGATCATCATGATAGAGCTGCTTCCCTCTGCCACACACTCTGCCATGATGTTCTGCCTCACCTCAAGCCTGAGGACTGGAGCCGGCCTTCTATGGACTAAGACCTCTGAAACTGTGAGCCCTCAAATAAACTCTGCCTCTTTTATAATTGTGCTGGTCAGGTTCTTTAGTCACAGCAGCGAAAACGCTGACCAAAACAGTAGCCTTTATTATACTTGCAGGCTCAAATAAAGAATTTTTTCTCCCCTTATGACAAAAGAGAGTCTAGTCTCTTTTTTCTAATACCTTCAGTGACTCTTGGACACTAGAATATCTTTTTCTTTTTTCTCTTGTAAGAAATAAGAATGGTTGAAAAAAAAAACAGATTATAATAGGAAAAACTCCTAATATAACTTTACCCAGGATAATGCATAATTACATTATCACACTCAGAAAAGAAATGTCCACTTCTGGTTTTACAGAAGTACATAAAATCAATAGAGTGATAAGCTATCGATTATTTGAACTTATATAATAGACCTTTCTTCAGTAATGCTGCAGGTATGTGCCACAGACAGGTTAATACGACAATTCAATAAATAAGAAACAGATTACACATACAGGGTAAACCCCATTATCCATTTCATTGCAGAAAATACACTAAAATCATTGCAAAAGAAACCACCAAACCCAGGTTGAAAATACCACATCCCCTAGCACTACAAGTAAAGCACTTCACTTTCCAAGAGAGGAAAAGATTTTAAAAGGTTTAATTGTTTCAAAAATACCACTGAACTGCCTCCATGAAACACCATCTTGACCAACATTATGGGTAACTCAAAAGATGCCACAAATACCACCACCATCATAAAAAAAACACCAGGAACATGTAGTCTCTTTTCTCAGATCCCAAAGTGGTCTTCTGTAAAGTCCTTCCAAGGGAAAGCTATCTCAAACTTCCATAAACATTTGTTTCCAAGTTTATTATCAAAGACGCAACTGAAGAATCATTTTGAAGTTTCCATTGGAGTTCAAATATGTACAACCAAAATGATAGGGTTTTGGTAAAAGCACCTATTTTAGAGCCTTAACTCTGGGAAGGCTCTGTAATTGTTAACACCACTCCCAAACCCTGGGCATCCAAAGGAGTCGGTCAGTGACTCCTGAATCCAACTGCTCCAAATGGAAACCCATCAAAGCAAATATCTGTACTACCCTCCTGCCTTTAAAGAATTCACAGCATCAGGGATGGGGATGTAATTCAATGAAATGATACTTGCCTAGCATGTGTCAGGCCCTGGATTCCCTAGCACTACAAAAATAATCAGAGAAGAAGAACTCATAGCATTCACTTCAGAAAGAGAATAAACTTCTGATATAATTCACTATTTTCCTAGAATACTATAAACAGTCATGTACCAAATAATATTTTGGTCAACAGCTGACTGCATATATGATAAGAGGGTCCCATAAGAATATATGACCTAGTGATATCACAGTACCTTAGTTTGTGTAAGTATATTCTATGATGTCTGCCCGATGACAAAATCGATTGACATATTTCTCAGATGGTAACAAAAAAAATTATCTTGAAATGTTTACTTATTTTATTCAAGGACCAAAAGACTTTTATAAGTTGCTCGATGGTTAGATTCTAAAAGAGAGCATCCTAGTGCCCAGAAAACTGACTAGAGATCTGTCTGCCACAACACCAACTATTCTATATTTAAACAGAATCCCTCCATATCCAAAACCAAAAGGCTGCCGTTGTTTGTCCTCCAGAGAACAGACAGACTGTTGGCTTCTTCTTGAACTAATACATAAACATCAAGTTAAAAAACTGATATGAGGAATTCAGAAATGACCTCTTCTCTTACCTCCACCACTGTGGTGTCTGCAGCTTTGCACATCGGCAGGTTGAAATTCCTCGCACTTTTCCTGCATTCGAGAAATAAGAAAGTGAAAAAAGAAGACCAAAAACAAGAAACATCTTTCAATTTTAAAATGTTGTAGATTAAAAAGAATTTATAACTCTTCTTCAAGAATGTATCATATGTTCCACTAATAAAATTTTATTAATTTAATTTTTTTATTTCTTATGGTGGACCTTTATTTATTTATTTGTTGATATGTGGTGCTGAGAATCAAACCCAGTGCCTCACACATGCTAGGCAAGCTCTCTACCACTGAGCCACAACCCCAGCCCTAATTTTATTAATTTTAACCATATAATGGCCACTTCATTCAATTTACACAGTTTATTTTAAGGGATTATTTTTTGCATTCAACATACAGCTTATATATAAAAAATAAAATGGATTTTAATCTGCTCTATTTGAAACAAATCCATTAATCTTTTAATAGGAATGCTACTTTGCTTATATAATTAAGTATTTCACTAAACAATCTGCTGTCATTAAAATATTAAGAAAGGAAGGGCTGGGGTTATGGCTCAGCGGTAGAGCGCTCACCTAGCACACGCAAGGTACTGGGTTCAATCCTCAGCACCACATAAAAATAAATAAATAAAACATTAAGAAAGGAAAATCAGTGAGTACTTCATATGAAAAGATATAGTATTTTCATTCTCTATTAAAGAAAAACCTATTACAGAAATTAAATGAAACAGTCTCTGGGAATTTGTACGTCACCTATAAAGGTTCTGGAGAAAGCTTTTCCTTTTTTCTTTCTTCCTTTTGCTTGTGAGGTATTTTTTGTTATTGTTGTTGCTGTTTTCTTGTTTCGTTTTTGTTTTGCTCTACCTCTGAGCACCTTCTTATTTTTTATTTTTTTTTTTATTTTTTTTTTTTGGCAGAGTATTGTTAAGTTGCTGAGGGGCTTTGCTTAACTGCTGAGACTGGCCTCAAACTTTCAATCCTCCTGCTTCCTGAGTCGCTGGGATTACAGGCATATGCCACTGTACCCAGATGGAGAATCAACATTATTTTCTGATGAAATTTTTGGAAGTATAATACCCACATCACATGATGTATAAAAAATTCAAAAAGGTATCAACTTTGCTTCCCACATTCCTCAATTGTTATACTTCCTCTGACCATAAATATTAACATATATTTTTGTTTCTGGGAATATGCATCAATAGGCACTCTATGGTGGAACAAAATCAGTCACAGCCATGTCTTATTCACTTTTTTAGGGCCACCACTTTCCATTTGAGCAATGGCTTAAGCAGGCCTCTGGACCAGTTGCCCCACTAAGTATCTTAAGAGTCTAGGTCACTTGACCATTAGTGATGGGAAGCTTTCAATTTATACCAAAATTCAATAGAGTAAGAGTAAGTCAAGGCTTAGAATAGCCCTTGTGCAGCCTTTTGAGCCAGGCAATAGAGCACAGCACAAACTCCTGGGAATATTTAAAATAGCTCATTTCTATTCGCTACTATACAATTTCATTAACCATTTTTAAAAAGCAACAGGCTTCGCAAACAATATGCCAACATGTCAAAGTAGAGATCATGTAAAATGTCTCTTGTAATTGCCAGAAGTAGTCACATTTTCAAAAACTGACTGAATTCAGGAAATCAGAGTGTTAATATCACATATATTATTTAGGGGAAAAAAAAAGAAAACAGGAAAGTACCACTAAGAATTTAACTATGATAGCAACAAAGCTGTATATGCTAAGTATTAAAAAAATGTTAATTAAAAGCAACAAATGGCAATATTATAGGAAAATTATTCTGTAACCTAACAGGTGTTGTCTTCAAGAGCACACATTTTGAAAAACTCATGTATAGTCAAAGGTGGCACAATTGTCAAAACACAACTACACAGTCTATAAATCTATGACACTAAATACTCAGAATTCAGTATGCTTAGGGTAATCAAGATGCTAAAATCTAGTAAGCCTGTGGCTATGCAGATAATAAGAATGAAAGTTCAGCATTATTAAAGATAATCAACTTTTCAGATAGAATCATTATAAACATTTTCTGGGAGACACCAATAGGGCTGGAAAAGAACTGACCTAAATTATTAGTAGCAATATCTTTCCAGAGGAGCAAAGGAATTTTAACATTACAAGATAATGTACACAAATAACAGTATCAAAATTAAAATTGTGTGCTCATCATGTTTTCTACAAAAAGAACTAGTTTTGACAACTATAATACATAGGGAATAATAATTGCTTGTGATTACATACAAGGGAACATAGATCCAAATATTTAATTTATGAGCAGTGCAACACAGACATAGCTAATCAGAACAGACTCTCACAGGTTCAGTGCACCAGCAAGACTGCATGGCAGTAGCCCTGCATGCACATACACGTACACGTACACCTGGGTGTGTATGATCATAAGTCATTTTTAAAAGGAATGTTTAAATGGAAAACTCACTGTGATACCTTTTTTGCAGTCATTTCAGGAAACGTAGAGGTGCTGACATGTATTGTGTTAATAATTTTTTAAACCATCACAATACCTGAAAATCACATTTCCTGCTCGATCTGCTTTCCAGGCTTTCACCAAAGCAAAATCCCCTGTAATTGCTTCTTCCAAAATAAAGTGCTGACCATTAAACTCTCTCACCTGCAGGAGACAAAGAGGGCAAGATCAGGTGTTTGCACGTGTCTTGTTTGTGGTATGTTCTCTGACAGAGGCAGACAAGAAGGATACTAGCCTAGTGAGGGAGGGTCTCCCAGAGGGAAAAGAATTTCAACAGAGACTTTTTACGTAGCGTTAGGCAACTAAGACTTCATCAAAATGGTCAAGGGGAGTTTGGGATACAGAACGTGCAAAGGCCCAGTGAAGAGAAAGTTTGCTGCATTTGAGGAAATGAAAGTTCTTCAGGTCTAAGGGATAAACTATGTTAATGCTCCTTTTATTTTTTGTGTGTACAGATTACATAAGCAACATAAAAAAACAGTTCCACTTTCCCACCGTGCCAGAAAATACCTATCTAGGACACATGAAATGGCCTACGTATTGGTTTTTTTTTTAATATTTTTTTAGTTGTGGATGGACACCATATCTTTATTTATTTTTAAGTGGTGCTGAGGATCGAACCCAGTGCCTCACCTGTGCAAGGCAGACACTCTACCCTTGAGCTACAGTCCCAGCCCCTACGTATTGTTTTGAAACATAAAATAGTTATAAAAATCCAGTCCTCTCTCCTCATTAGTCTGTGATCTACAATCACCTGTTGAGATTTTAATTGGGATACACAGAATTAGTAAATGAGTTTGAAGAGAACTGACAGATTCCCATTTTCCCACCCATGGTTATAACATATGTCTCTTTTGAAGTTTTCATTTATCTCCTTCAATAGTTTTATCATTCTCTCCATAAAATCTGGATGTATTTTTCTTAGGCTTATTCATAGGTGTACCATGTTTCTGTTGCTACATTAAACATAACAACTTATTACATCTTTCTGTCATTACAGAGCTCATGAAATGCTACTGATTTTTGTATGTTTATTGCCCTTTGATTCTACTTTGAGTTGAGTGGAGAAGAAAATAAGGTGAATCTTTGCCTCAGCATTATGTTCCCTTCTTGTTGGGGATTTGTCTCTGGGAATTAAGACAAAGGAAGAGTGGAACCAAACACCACAGCCGCACTCCATCTCTGCTCAGGATGGAGCCACAGAAGCACCTCATTCTTGTTCCTACTGCACCCCCTAGTGGAAAAATAGACTCAGTGCAGCTAAGAGAAGGCTTCAATAGGAATTTGGCACATCTACTTTTTAACAATGGTTTAAAAACAGAAATCCTTTATTAAAGAAAAGCTTCTTTAAAGATATTATCCCAGTTTCCTGCTAGAAAATATTAGTGATCCTTGAAACTCATTGATGAATTAAGATCTTTTTAATATGAATTTACATAAAAGAAATGTATAAGCTGCCTATCAATATACAAAGCTTTTTTAAAAAATGGTATATGTACTTCAAATACCATCACTATAAACACCAGTAATGACATTGGAGTGTTTTAAATACAGGGAAACTGGAGTAAATATTTGCGAATGCAGGGCAATGTCAAGAAGTTGGCTTTACTTTTATATTCCAATTATATAACTTTCTGATGTCTGCAAACTAGCTATTGCTCAGTGCTAGCCACTCTAAAATTTTAAAAGGGGGAAAGAACTATTTTTTTCAAGCTAGTTATTATACTCACTTGAAAGAGCTGTGATAGTCAGTCTCTACCTCTTCATCTAGGTTCTTTCTTGAATCCACTCCAATCAGATTTTCATCCTCTCTATTCTAGAAAAACCACTCCTTAAGGTTGTCAATGACTTCCACTTCTCCAATCCACTGGTCAATTCCAGTCCTCATATTACCCAGCTTCATCACACTATTTGACTCAGAGGATCCCTGGCTCCCTCTCTCTTCCCAAACTGTCCCTCTTCTTCCAAATCAGTCCTTGGTTTTCTCTTCATTTATTAAGACACTAATCATTCTTGCCTTTTTATTTTCCTCCTCCCACTCCTCCTCCTGACCTTTAACTGTCAGGAAAGTGCTCTCTATTTACATGCAAGCCCAAGCCATCCTTCTAGCCCTGAGAGTTTAAATGCTATGTGCCAAAGCTTCCAAAGTTCCCATCCTGGCTCTAACTCTTCCTTCAGCGGAAACCCATCTTCCTCTTGAGTCTCCTGGACATCGTAAATGTACCATGTCCCTGGAGAGCTCTTTGATTAGCCCGTGCCTTGCCCATTCTTAAGCTCACAACCAGCCCATCAGTAAATCCTGTTGTGGTTCCTCCATCAACTTCTATCCTGATTCCAACCACTTCACCCACACTCCACTGTTAGCACTTATCTAAGCCACCTTCCACTCCCATCAGGATTCATATAACAGCCCCCTAAGCTTTCTCACTGCTTCTTGTTCTTGGTCCCCTACAAACAGCAACAACAAAAACCATAAAAGTCACCACCCAAGAGCCACAGTGATGTTCACAACAAACAATTAAGGTCACATCACATTCCCACCCTTCCAAAACTCTCACTGGCTTCTCTCCACACTCCGTGAACTCCAAGCTCTGTGTGGATCCGGCTCCTGCCTCTCTTCATTTTGCATCCCTACCCCTCTCTGCCTCATGTTCTCTGCTCCAGTCTCAATGAACTGATGTTCCCCAAACACGACAAGCCTGTGGCTGCCTCAATCCCAAGTAGTGCTTACTTTTTCCTCTGACTAAAGCCATGACCCTCTGAGCACCTTACTCATTCTCTTACCTGTTCAGGTCTCCATCAAATACTACCCTCCTGAGAAAGGCTTTCCCTGACCACCCAATCTGGAATGCTGTGTCCCTGCTGATCATTCTCTTTGCCCTTGACCTCCTTGGCTTTTCTCCATGTAGCCTACTGCACCCATTATGTGTTTGTTCATTCACTGTCAGTGTCTCCACTGCAGGCGGACCTGGTCTAGACCATCCATTTCTTCACACTGCTTAGATCAGTGCCCCGCAAAGGCAAGGGTCTCAATAAACATCCTTAACCTAAGGAATTAGTTCACTTAAAACCAAAGGCCAGGAAAATAAAGAGATAAGAAGAACTGCTTCAAAGAATAATCTGTCATATACCTGGAGGGTTCAGTCAAAATGACAAAACTACTAGATTCATGCACCTGGCTCCAGGCAAAAACAAACTCAGGGAAGATTCTAGTTTATCATATTTTCTCAGAGTGAATTAATGCGACAATTTCTAGCAAGCTACCAAAGTGTTAACTCAATTTTTCTGGGCAATTTTATACTATTTTTATACCACTAAGTTTCATTTTTAAAATTTGGCTCTTTTTTTTTTCCTTATCAAGAAATGTTTTAAACCTGATTAGTTAGCAAAAGGAAAAAGCAAAATTAAATATGAAAATTATTTAATACAAGCTTTGAATCAATATAGGTCACTCTCAGCAGGAAGGCAAAACTCCAGATGGAGGACATGGTTGGAGATAAACACTGACGAGTGAGGGGCATGTTCAATGACCCTTTACCGTCCCCCAGAAAAGGAGGAGCAGAGCCAGCATCCCCACATGTACAAAAGTGGTGAGAGATGACTTCACTGACTACTTTCACTTCCCTAGAGGCATAATCTTAGCATTTCTGCAACACCCCCTAGTAGTTAATTCCCTTGAGCCATCTGGAAAAGAAGAATGAAAAGATCATAAAAAATACAATTATGAAACATTGACTGGTATAATTTTTAAAATTATCTCAGATCTGAGTAACTTAAATACCTATATGTAGAGGTCTACTCTTTCCTATTATGTGACTGAAACAGACTATTATAAAGGTACACAGTATTTTAAATCAATCGATTTAGTAAATGAAAAGTTCACATGTGTTCAACATACAAAATATAAAGGTGATAATATGAACTATGAATTCCATCATATAATTTTAACTGTGTTCCACTTTTCAAGATTTCAGACTAACTTATGATTTCCCTTGTTTTTTAGCACCTTCAGTCACAGGATGGGTTCATACATATCAGACAACTTTTCCATTTTCCATATAGCAAAATCAGCAATCATAAATGTTCCTAAATTTGTTAAAACCATCCATAATATCAGCCAACTAATCTTGAGTAGTACAGTATATATGCATCACAGCTTCTTTTCTTCATATTTATTCTAGTTTATCTATGTGATTTTAATTACTGGCAGATAGCCAGGTTTAGGTGGAAATGTCAACAAATACACTGATGAAAGTGAGTGTTTTTTTCTCACCACGGTGATTCCACCCAGAATGCCATGGGGAAAGAGGTACACTGTCTGGATGAGCTGTTTCTTACCTCCCTGGGCTTACTGGCAATAGCGATGCTGCCATCTTTGTTGTATTTGATGGGTGCTCCCCCTTCTTGAACCAGGGTCCCATACCCTGTGCTGGTGTAAAACGCAGGAACTCCAGCACCACCTGCACGAATCCTCTCTGCAAGTGTGCCCTACAAATGAACAAGCAACACTCAGTTAAAAGTTCACCAAGCAGGCATCGTCTGGGGACACAGAAACATTTACAGACATATTCCCACTCTCGAAAAGCTTACAATTCTAAGAAGTACAGAGCACTACAGTTTGATGTGCATATGTCCGTAACCCCAAAGGCTAGAAGATCATGAAAAAGAAATACCTGTCTGTAGGCAAAAACCAGTACATTATTTTTTTTTTTAGAGAGAGAGAGAATTTTTTAATATTTATTTTTTAGTTTTCGGTGGACACAACATCTTTATTTTATTTTTATGCGGTGCTGAAGATCGAACACAGCGCCCTGCACATGCCAGGCGAGCGCGTTACCGCTTAAGCCACATCCCCAGCCCACAAAATTATTAATCCACAAAATGTAACTGCTTATTTGTCTAGTTGTGCTATCAGCTTCCAGACCTCCCACTGGTTTCCTGACATCATTCTACATATGCCTACTTTTGATATTTTTTAAATCAATTTTCATCCAAATTATATAATTTTAGCTATATGCATTCCCAAAATATCTTTAAATTTTGTGTTTTACTGTGTGCTATCATTAATAACACTGTAAAGTGTTCATATTTATTTTAAACCATTTTCATAAATATTTTATTTGCTAAATGATCTAAGAAAAATCCAAAGGTAAGCAAAGGGTACAGAGAACAGGTCAATTGGTTTTTAAAAGCCAAGAGTACTCCCAGCTTTGTTTCACAGTAGAAATAGCTGCAAACAAAGTTTCTTTGTGTCTCCTTTTAGTCATCTTTCCCATGGCTGATCCTTCCCTCTTCTTAGTATCAGTGATTTCATACCTGGTTTCCCTGGGTGTCTCACCCACAACCAACTTTCCACCCAGATTTCCCCTAGATCTATACTGGTCCTGAACATTTCCTGACACCCTCCCTAACACTAAAACCTACTGGTGGGGTCTTGCCACATCATGCCTTACTAGATAACTCATGGGCTAATCATTAGTAAGAACTGATATAGTTATTAGGGACAGTCTGTTCAGACTGACCCAGTTTTAGAACTGTTCTCTACAGTAACTAAGGTCTTTAAATATTTAACTCAAAGAAGAGACTAACAATTGGGATCAGGTCATTCAAGTAGGTGGGATATTCTGGGAAAGGAGGAACTTGCAACATAACTGAAAATCTTCCTGATAACTGGTTCTCTATTCTTTCTATGGACAGAGACCACTCTGCTTTGTGTTGCAGTTTATGTTAATACATTCAAAAAACAGAATTATTGAAACAGCCTTAAAAAATTCCCTACATATATATATATATATATATATATATATATATATATATATATATTACACACACACTATCAGAATACTCTACTTCTCTGTGCAATTGAGTAAGAGCCTGAGAGTAGAATATTTCTGCAGACAGACCCTCTGCAGGGTACCACCAGGCTCCCACCTTCACTGCATAAAGGAGTCCTAATCCCTACCACTTCATCAACACTTCCTCTTTGGGCTCTTGGGCTGCAAAATAGGATGCAAGCTTAAAAAAAAAAAAAAGAAAAAAAGAAAAATATTAAGTAAGTTCCTCCCCTTTTATATGACCTGTAATGGTTAATTTGAATTGTCAACTCTATTGGATTAAGAGATGCCAATGATTAAGTGGCTTCTGGGTGTGTCAATCAGGGTGTGTGTAGGAATGACTGAAATGTGGGACAGCCAACTGAAGTGGAGACATCTCCTTCCTAAGCACAGGGAATACCGTCCAATAGGTTGAGGGCTTGGATGGAATAAAAGTTGGAAGAACAAGGAAGCAACATCAGATGCAAACTCAATTCTTCTTGATTGCTGCTGCAATCCTCTGAGAATATCAGATGTTTTTTCTTCACTCTTCTGAAGCAGACTCTGCCAGTGATTCTCCAGGGAGTTTCCAGAAGACTTGAGTCTCAGACTAGGGCAGTACCATTGATCCCTCTTATTCTGAGGCTTCAGCCTCTTGGTTTGTGCAGCTACTGGTTTCTCTAGCTCTCCAGCCTGCAGACGGCCATTGTGGACTATCCAGCTTCTGGTCACATAAGCCAATCTAATAAATCCTCTTTTTATTATCATACTTCCTACTGATTCTGTTCCTCCAGAGAACCCTGACATGTCCTCCGACAAACTAGGGTATAGTGTAGAAGATACAAAAGGTAACAAAGGTTAATTTTAAATAACTCCACAACCCACAGAATAAAGTATCTCATCCTATAATGTAAAAAGGAGAAGAATATGCCACAGACTGTACTGAGAGCCTCTTAAATTCCTAAGTTGAAGCCCTCACCCTCCCAAAGTGACTATATTTAGAGAATGGGCCCACAAGGAGATAATTAAGGTTGAAAGTGTCATAAATGATCTTATAGGACTAGCGTCCTTATAAGAAGAGACACAGTGAGTTTGCTCATACTCTTATTAGCCCCCTCACTTTGTCACCTGTTGTGAGAGAACTCAGAAAGAAGTTAACCATCACAAGCCAGGAAGAGAGCCATCGCCAGAAGATGAACTTACTGGCACCTTGATCTTGAACCCTCCAGCCTCCCAAACTATGAGAAATAAACTTCTGGTGTTCAAGCCACCTAGATGATGCTATTTGGTTATAGCAGCCTAAACAGACTAGGAAAGCATTCTTTGTCTTTTCACAAAGTTTAAATGGAAATTGAGTAAGAATTGAAAGGGTAAAGTTTCTAAGCTGCTTCTAAACTGCAAAGCCTGAGTTAAAATGTAAAAGACCGGGCATTGTAAAGTTCCTAAGCTGCAAGGCCTGAGTTAAAAAGTGAAGGACTAGGTATTGTTAAATTCCTCTGCTACACCCAGAACCTGAAATTCCTGAGGCAGTTAAGACAACGCCCTACTGGCCATTTAGTTGATTAATAGCCTAGGGCCCTGTGCGATCTTGCATGTAGGCATCACAGGGCCTAAACCAATCAGTTTGAATGTGTACCCCGCTTAGGAGTAACCAATCACCCCCCGACCGACCTGTTCCCGCCAATGAATGAACTAATCATGTTTAGGAATTGTTGTTTGATTTTCCCGCGGTGTATGATGATTTGTTAAAGGAGACTGTGATGTATGTAAAGTCCCCGCCCTCCCCAAGAAGCGTACTTAAGCAGTGCTCAGCCCCTGCTCTGGGCTCTGGGCTGCTCTCCCTTCTTGAGTGAGCATGGAGCCCCAGCATGCTGGAATCTCAATAAATCACCTTCTGCAATTGCATGAGTCAGTCTCTTGGTGGTCTCTTCCTCCAATGCTTCACCGGACCCTTACAGAATAATGTAGGGAAATGCTATGATAAATAGAGTTCAATGCTATAGGGTGACCAGGTGTGCCTACAATTGCGTAAAACCTCATTTACAAAGAACAGCCCTCCATTCACACTTTCTCTAGACCAGTATATACCTGATTTAATTACTGAAAAATATTTTTTTTTAATATTCTGCTACATTACATTATTACCATCATGGTGAAGTTGGATGTAACAGTCTTTTCAAGCAGAGCAGCGGGTTCCACATCAGAGATGAAGGCAGAACATGTCCAGGTGGAAGACCAGCACAGGTAACTTGTAGACCCCACTTAACCCAGATGGATTCAAAAGACCGCCTCCCTTTATGACAAATTCTTCAATGCATTAGGAGGTGAGGCAGAAAACAAGTGGACGCTTGCTAGATAAACCGAGGTAATTGCTTGCTTCTTATTATACCATCAGTCCCCAGGGGACTGGGCTCTGATCTCCATACTTGGTGATGTCATCAGTTTCACCCTCTTCGGGCTTCATTGCTCCTGTGCCTCAGCAAGACCTGATCACTCACAAATTCTAACTCGGTGATTCCTAGAAAATGACTTCTATAGGACAATCCTTGAACCTTTCAGCAAGGCCTATTGCTTGCTTCTGGCACAGGGGACATTATCATTTCAAACCTGGAATTTACCCTGAAACAGGTATTTCTACCTCCCTCTTCGGTATACAGTGGCATAAAATACTCATCCTCTAGTGATCAATACATCTGACTTATAAACACAATTCCTTGGTTTGGTAAAATAACATATCCTCTGTCTTGTACAAAGAAACTTTTAAGGAGACAGAGTACACTTTTCAACAAGCTAGCATTGTGAAAGGAGAGCAGCGAAATCTCACCTGAGGTGTCAGCTCCACTTCTAATTCACCAGATAAGAACTGCCGTTCAAATTCGGCATTTTCTCCTACGTAGGAAGAGACCATGCGTTTTATTTGCTTGGATCGAAGTAAAAGACCCAAGCCAAAGTTATCAACCCTAGAAGGAAAACGAAGGTAGCTTAAAATCACAGGAACATCTGACACAACACTGTTATCACATTTTTGTAAAAAGATGGAATTTCATTTATTTGGAGAAAAGGAAATGCTCCTCTGTTAAGGAATGTCATCCAAATTCTCTCTATCCCCTGCCACTCAAAGAAATATGCAGGGTGGCTAGTCTTATTTTACAGTTGAGGAAACTAAAGCTCAAAAGTGGCCCATGGCTATAATCCCAGCAGTTCAGGAGGCTGAGGCAGGAGGATTGCAAGTTCAAAGCCAGGCTCAGCAAAACAAGGTGCTAAGCAGCTCAGTGAGACCCTGTCTCTAAACAAAATACAAAATAGGGTTGGGGATGTGGCTCAGTGGTCGAGTGCCAAAGTTCAATCTTCAGTGTAGTCAAGTGTGGCTGAGTTTAGGCCTGGGTACCAAAAAAAAAAAAAAAAGGTTTAAGTGACTTTTTCTCCAAAATCTCAGGCAGTAAGGACATAGCCAATATGTAAACCCACATCAATCTTCTACTTTTATTGTATATTTTGTTCTTTCCCTTACCACAAAACGATCCTGGGTTGTAATCAAAGCAAAGAGGTTAATTGGTTTTTGTTCTGTGCTTTGGGGTGGTGAAATACTGACCCCAAAGAAAGATTTAGATGGAGAACCTCCTTCTGTGCAAAAAAGGAAAGAGGGCCATTCTTGTATTTAAGAAATAAAAGAAAGACATACTCATTGAAATATGAACCCAAGTTACAAATAGCTATGGACATTTTTACAGTTTTATAGATATTTTGTTCGAGAACATTTACATACTTGTACATTCTTTACCCCCCCATTAGGAGAGTAATAATAAACAACGAAAAGATTATAAGTAGCAAAAGTAATCCTGTATCTGTTAAATCACATATATTTTTGCTTAATATCTCTATTTTTTTAAAGTTGGAGTTCAATTTATTCTTAGACATGGTGCAGGTGGTTTGGCATTTGTTTTTTTAATTAATTAGGTAAAGGCCTCCTGTTTGTGCATTTCTTCTTTATTTCTATCATCATTTTCAAAGCAAAACTTTCAAGCAAAATCACTATGACAAGAAAGATTTAAACTTGAATAAACATTTCTCCATTTTCAGTCACCTAATCCCTCTCCCCTTAAAAATATCAGAAATATTTTAATCAACTAGAGGAAGGAAACATTTCTAAGATAACAAAGAATACTTGACTTTAAGCTATGAAATTATTTTTAAGGGTGAAATGGTTTTAATGTTGAATATCCCGAGACACCACTACAAACATAAAAAAAGGGCTAAATAACAAAGAAGAAAATGCCAAGTGTTGGCAAGTGTGTAAAACACCAGAACTCTCATATATGCTAAGGAGATTAAAAATCAATACTTCCACTTTGGATTCATAATAGCTGCCATTCTGACGGGAGTGAGATGAAATCTTAGAGTGGTTTTGATTTGCATTTCTCTAATTGCTAGCGATGATGAACATTTTTTTCATATATTTGCTGATTGACTGTATATCATCTGAGAAGTGTCTGTTCAGGTCCTTGGCCCATTTATTGATTGGGTTATTTATTTTTCTGGCGTTTAACTTTTTGAGTTCTTTATATACCCTAAAGATTAGTGCTCTATCTGATGTGTGAGAGGTAAAAATTTGCTCCCAAAAATGTATATTCACCTCACAGATTGTTTCTTTTGCTGAGAAGAAACTTTTTAGTTTGAGTCCATCCCATTTATTGATTCTTAATTTTAATTCTTGAGCCAAAGGAGTCTTATTAAGGAAGTTGGGGCCTAATCCCACATGATGGAGATGAGGACCTACTTTTCTTCTATTAGATGCAGGGTCTCTGGTTTTATTCCTAAGTCCTTGATCCATTTTGAGTTGAGTTTTGTACATGGTGAGAGATAGGGATTTAATTTCATTTTGTTGCATATGGATTTTCAGTTTTCCCAGAACCATTTGTTGAAGAGGCTATCTTTTCTCCAATGCATATTTTTGGCAAGTGTTGGCAAGGATGTGGAGAAAAAGGTACACTCATACATTGCTGGTGGGACTGCAAACTAGTACAGCTAATGTGGAAAGCAATATGGCGATTTCTTGGAAGTCTGGGAATGGAACCACCATTTGACCCAGCTATCCCTCTCCTCAATCTATACCCAAAGGACTTAAAAACAGCATACTACAGGAACACAGCCACATCAATGTTTATAGCAGAACAATTCACAATAGCTAAACTGTGAAGCCAACCCAGATGGCCTTCAATAAATGAATGGATAAAAAAAAATGTGGTATATATACACAACGGAATATTATTCAGCAATAAAAGAGAATAAAAATCATGGCATTTGCAGGTAAATGGATGAAGTTAGGGAAGATAATGCTAAATGTAGTTAGCTAATCCCCAAAAACCAAATGCCAAATGTTCTTTGATATAAGGAAGTTGATTCATAGTGGGACAGGGAGAGGGAGCATGGGAGGAACAGACAAACTCTAGATAGGGCAGAGGGGTTGGAGGGGGTATGGGGTTAGAAATGATGGTGGAATGTGATGATCATTATAATCCAAAGTACATGTATGAAGATACAAATTGGTGTGAATATACATCAGAGATATGAAAAATTGTGCTCTATATGTGTAATAAGAATTGTAATGCATTCTGCTGTCATATATAAATAAAAAATAAATACGTCCACTTTGGAAAAACTGTTAAAGGAATCTATTAATGTTGAACATATTCGAATATGTTATGAGCCAGCAAATCCACTCTAGGGTCTGTACCCAATATATCCTTAATGTTTACCAAGAGACAAGATACTCAAAATAGCAACTGTTCATTATGGCTAAAACAGGAGTTTTCCAAATGCCCATTGCAAATAAATAAATAATGGTTTATCTACACAATGAAACACAGTACAGTAATGAGAATGAAGGCTTCATAACCACTAGCAAACAATGCATGAATCTTGGATGATATGTTGAGCAAAAGATGTCAGACACAAAAGGGTACATACTGCATTATTCCTTTAATATTAACTTCAAAATAAGATGAAACTAATGCATGAGATCAGAAGAGAGGATAAAGATTAACTTTGGTAGTGGGAAAGGAGAGCAGTGACCAGCAGGAGCAGGAAGGGGGCTTTCTGGAGAACTGGTCATACCCATTTCTTCATCTGGGTGCTGGTTACATGGATGTGTAGCTGACAAAACTTCATCTACATTTGGGATATGTCCACTTTTCTATATAACTACATACTATACTTCAATAGAGATTTTTTTAAAAGACAGAAATGTAGCCAGGTACAGCAGCTCATGCCTCCACTCCCAGTGACTCAGAAGGCTTAGGCATGAGATCATTAGTTGGAGGACAGCCTGGGCAATTTTGGAAGACCCTGTTTCTAAAATAAAAAAATAAAAAAGAGCTGGGGAGATATCTCAGTGTTAGAGTACCCCTGAGTTCAATTCCCAAGATTGTAAGAAGAAAAATAGAGACCGAGGAAGAGAAATAAAGTAATAAAGGCCTAAATATCTCCCAGAAACAGAAGTCTTCACTTATTCCCTTCCCAACTCCTTTAGTTCTCTGATGGTTCAGTCCCTATGGAATTTGTGTGGCCTAAAGGATTCATTTACCTAACAATCAGGGCTGGAATGTCAGGCTCTGGGGCTACAACCATGAATGAGGTCTGGTCTTGCACCCTGAATAGCTCTGGGAGTACAGAGGAAGTAAACCTGCAAACCCACCATGACAGCAGAGGGGAACATGCTAAGCGTGCGTGAAGTGGTATGAGCACGCTGCAGGCTGAGAACCCCACTGCTGGAGGAGAAACAAGGCAGAAAAAGCCTTACTGAAGGGAAGGCCTTACACAAGAAGGTGGCCCTTAAGGGATAGAAGTAAAAAACACATTTTGAGAGTAGAGTGGAGGAGGCAGTCTGAGGGCAAGAGGCAGCTAGCTGGACATCCTCACCGAGACAATCAGGAAGCATCAACCTGAACTGGAGGCAGAGGCAGGGCAGGAGGGGTGGGAGAAAGGCCAGGTTGGGGTCTGCCTCATGGGACTTCACCCAGAAGGACACGGAGACCCTGAGAGTAACTTAAAGCAGAAGGATAACAGGATATAGTATTACTGAAGAGATTCAGAAACAAAAGGCAGAGGGAACAGTTCAAAGGCTTGATGTAGCTCGAACAAGCAATGATGAGCATCTGAACTAAAGTAGAGGTTACTGGTGGGAATGAAATAGAAATCAAGAAGTATCTAGGGGAAACTATTCATTCGTAAGACAATTGTTGCACATCCCAATACAGAAGCAGATCCGCTGCAGAGTTCTGACTTTGGCAAAAGAACTCAGTGGGACGGTGCACTGGGGGATAATTTGATGTCACTCGTGATACCCACTTGTTGGACCAGCAAAGGTGCTAAATGTGGCAGGCTGTGTGACAAATCACTGGCATTTCTTCAAACAATCACATTTTCTCCACTTTCACTCCACTATTCATGCCCACAAGTGTGCATCCAAGATCCAATGGTTTCTTCTTAATTCTTAGAATGTATCACTTCCATGTCTCTTAACTCCCTCTATAATCCTGTAGTGTCCAAGTAACAGGTAATTGTCCAGCTTCTATTAAACTTGTTTTTTACTTGTAGCCTTTAAATATTGGAGCTGATGATATTTCACATTACACATGTATATAAACAATAGCTATATCATTTATTATTTATTTCCAATATGTTTCGAACAAAAACTAAAGTCTAAATAACCTAAGTTATTTTCAAGAATGAACTTTGGAGATACGGTAATTCCCTACAGGTTAATAATACACTTATCCACTAGAGGTCGCCAGATCACTGAAGCTTTTCCATCTCCCTGATGCTTGAGCGCGCACACATGCCTTCCAACTATTCTTTATTTACTTATTTCTTCTTTGAACCTACTCCTAATACCTGACTAGGCCCACAGTTCTTGAGGTTAACAATTCTACCCCCCCAACTTCCTGTGCCTTCACCATCT